AATGAAGCTGAGAGCAAAATTTTCCTCACTTCAATTAACGACTTCCTTTTAAAAATCCCCATTAAAAATCTTGAATTGACAAGATAACTTCAAAAATATATCATTAGCTAATTAATTAGTAAAATTAGAATGTTACTCGAAATGTTTATAAGTAATTTTACTAATTGTTTCAGAATTCGATTCTAGTCTGCAAGACATGTTGCTGGACCTTGCCATCTATAGAATTACAAAACACTGCTTTCCCAATTAGTAAAACTTCTGTATTCTAAACATTTTAAGTACATCCCCTCCAAAAAGAGATACCTACCTAAGGTTTAAAAAATGAATTTTAAAAATGAAAAATCTTTCTTGAAGCTCTTTATTTTTAATTCTGCATTTAAATATTCAAATGTCATATTTCCAATAAGCAAATACTTTGCTGTATTTCAAACTGAATTTAAATTGATTTGAAATTTTATTTATTTTAAATCACTAAAATTCACTTTAAGAATTCTTTGAAGATGAACTGATTTAAAATTGCATGAATCTGAATTGAAACAACTATTTTCATTTTAAGTATTGCAGAAAAGCTTTTTTTTTTTCTTTTTTTTTTTTTTAAACATGGAAGTGAGTGTTTTCATAAGGTGTTGATGAAAAGAAAACAAATACGCTGTTCTTGTATTACTAATATAGATTTGCATAAAGCTCCTCAAATATTAATCTTGACCTTTTCATTCCAATTTTTCTGAGCTTCTTGTTCAATCACTGAAGTTATACAACATTTAGCTTGGTCAGTACCTAGATAGGTGACCACTTAGGAATAGCAGGTGCTGTAAGATTGGATGTGCGGGTGGTGTAATAGATAATGGATCAGAATTGGAAATCAGAGAGCCAAGTTCCAATTCCAGTCTGATTCACTTACATGCAAATACCCTTCTCTCCCACCCAGCTATGGGTTAAATAGGACTTGTATCGGTAAATCATTCTTTTATGCGCCCGGTCCCTTCATGGCATAGGCGATCATGGCTCTCCACAATTTCCTGTACTTTGTAGCTCTTTGTAAAGTTGACTTTTTGTTATCTATCCTAGACCCTGTGTTGTTTACCTGTCTCTGTCCTGTGAGTATTAAATTTTCCAAGCCTTATTTCCTCAGTTGACATTTCTAAATTACATAATATCTCGTTCTGATGTTAAGTGTGTCCTTATTTTTGTTTCCATTTCCTCTAAAACTGTTATTGCCCACACATTCAGTCCATGGTATTCTCGGCATCCTTCTGTAGAACCACATTTCTGTTGCTTCAAGCCAGTTTTTCATGTGTGAAGAGATTGTCCAACATTCATTACCATGTAGGAGGAGCTGATATTACATAACGGTTCATATATATATTTTCTGGCTTGTAAATAACCTGCAAAAGCTTCATATTCCGTAAATAGGAAATCAGTAAAAAAAAAATTTAACTTCCAAATTTATTTTAAAAAGTAAGCTAGTACAAACAGCAAGGATCCTTTTTGATAAAATAAGGAGAGAAAAAAATTCAAATTTAATGTCAAACCACCTAAAGATTTATTTAAATTTTATCAATGTTCTTTCATTCCCTTCTTCCTGAAATATGCCCCAACTAAAAGAAATGTTTAAATTACTCAGTGTAGGTGAGGGTCGTATGAGGAAAATTAAATGCAATCAATGAGAAAAACGCCTCGTGTGAGAAATTGAATTCGGTGTAAGAATTTCTAAGTATCAGTCGACTGGAATTTCCATTAATAATCCTTTTGTCCAAGGATCTTGTCAGATTTATTTCCGTGCCATTTTTATCTGATCTATTTTGGTTGGAATGTATTTCCATTGCCCAACTAGAATGACAGTTACTCATGTACCTTTTAATAGAGAAAAGCTATTTTTTTTCTACACCTCTTTCTATTGTAAAGTTTTCAACATTGCAACTGAAATCCTCAAACTGCAAATTCAGGTCTGACAGGCATAAAATTTGTGTGCGTGTATTTTATCACTTTAAGCATTATTTTTAGTGGATACACATATTTGGGTAGGCACTCCATTTATTTATTAAGTAGTATATTTATTTTCGTCTACCAGCCTGAATATTCAAGAAATCTTGTTAAAGAAAAATATGCACTCTCTAGCAGGATTCAAACTAGATTCCACCTAGAGAATGAAAATAAATAAATATACTGTCTAATAAATAAACGTCTGCTCAAATATGAGTATCCACTAAAAATAGCATTTAAAGTGATGAAATCTGTCGGATTAATAAATAAGATCCATTACTACTTTAGAAATTGCTTTGTTTACGTTTCAAGAGTCTGATGAGAGGGATTTCACTTAAAGGCACTATTCAGCCTTGTTTGATTAGCAAAAGTTCTTCATAGCGGAGTCAGTCAAAGCATGTTGTAGTAACGACAGTTCCCTCTGCCTGGGGAGACACATGTTCGAGTCCTGCTGGAGAGCACATATTTTTCTTTAATAAGGCATAGAAAAATGAATCGATAAAAAATTATAGTTTAATCCTCAGGTGAAAACTGCATTCACTTGGTAAGTTTGTGAAATCTTTTTATCATCATGTTCATACTCCTTCCCAGTCTTTTTGAACAGGAGTACAGGTTTATCCCTTGTTTCTGGTTTGGGTTTCCAATTCCTTCTAAAGTCTGCTTCAGCTGTATACTCCTAACACTTGTTCTTTCTGCTGCTAAGATAAGTCCACATAGTAACCTTTTACTTTGAGTGACTCTTGAGCCTTGTATTGGGTGAACACTAGTTAAAAAAAAATATTCTTAAATATTCAGAATGGTTGTTTAATAAATGGAGCATCCACTAAAAATAATGTTTTAAGTAATAAAAATAATTAATAACTGTATTTTATGGTGGTTGTTAATAGGCAAAGCTGCTTGTACCTACAACGAAACTTGCTTCTCGATAACAAGTTTTATGAATAGTTGTGCTTTCATCTTTTTATGGTTATAAAATGATCATTTTTGTCCAAGTTTATCTATTTCCATAAAAAGTCCTGCTTGTCACACAGGTGTTGGAGTTATTAAACAGCACGTGTCAAATAGTCACATTATCCTATCAGTCAGATATATCCAGTTTTAAATAGGTGATCAGAAAGTTGTCATTTGTCTAAAATGCTATGTTTATGCTTATTTTGAATCTTACTTTAAAATTCTGGATTATCTCTGTATCAATTTCTTTCACGTTTTGCTAGTATTTCTTTCACGTTTTGCTATTAGATGAAGCCTTGTCCATTATTAATTTTTGATTAGTATTTCTTTCATTTTAGTTCTTTCTACCTGTAGTAAAATTAACGTGACTTCTAAAGCATTGTCAATCTTAATCTTTGTCTATTGTTTCTCGTCTCAATTTTCATCCTCCAGAAATATTAGTAATTATCTTGAATTTTATTAGAATAAGCATTGTCACCTATTATCAATTTGTAACAGGTATTTCTTCCCTTTTAATTTCAGGGTCATTTTATTTAGTAATGTTAATCATCCTTTCATTAATTTTTTCACTGGTATTTCTTTCGTGTTTACTTGACGCAAAATAATTTAAAACAATGTTAGTAAAGGTTTAGTATCCTTTATCCAAAATTCAGAAAGCCAAGCTATACAGCCTACGTTGACACCAGATTTTTTTTTTTTTTTTTTTTTTAAATCTGGTGCCAATGTAGGCTGTATCCCTCGTCACAGCAGCCAAGTAGTTCGTGCATAGAAAAGATATTCAAAATGTCCAGCATTTTTATATGTATTTTTGTCAGTAGTGATCAGGTGAACCCTACATGACTAGCATCATTATCTGTATGTATACAAAAGCTGTGTCATGAAATGTGAAGAGATATTGTGTTTATACTTGGGTTCCATTCTCAAGCTGCCCCATTTTATAGATACTATATACAAATTAATTATCCTGTATTCTTAGAATTTCGGATAAAGAATTCTCAACCTGTAGTAGTAATATCTTGATTTTTATTATTAGATGAAATATTGTCACCATAAATTTTAGGCTAGTATTTTGTCTTCCCCACTAGACTAGTTGTCAATCAAGGTTAAAAAACACAATCTGCCCTGATATTTTACTAATGGATAGGGAAAAATAGACTGGACTCTTGCCTCTTTTTCAAGGGTAATAATACAAAGTGAACTGTCTCTGCTGAGATTTGAACTCTGCTCACAGATTCCATTTCCCACTGCCACCTAACCATTAGGCTACCTGCCTACATTATTGGAAATATGTTGAAACGATTCTCTTTTCTTGAAATCTCAAAATTATTCATGCTATAATTTTTATTGACCTGAAATATCTATTGGAGAGTTTATACAAAAGTAAATATTTGAGAAAAATGAAAAAAAAAAAATACATAAAAATCAATGTTGTGCATTCATGTTTTTTTTTTTTTTTTTTAAAACAAGATGCAAGTTGACAGTTATTAAAACAGCAAGCAAAGCAAATGCAAAAAGAGAAGCCAATCAAATTGATCAGTTTTAATGCTAATGTATTTTAAAAGCAAAAGCCTACACATTTGCTTTTTATATATATATATATATATATATATATATATATATATATACACACACTTGTGTATGTTTATTCCTATAGGAATAAAAAGGAGAATGAAACAAAACATGACAATATCAACTAAAAATCAATTTAAACAGATATGCTGAGAAAATTGATCTGAAGGCTAGAAAGCAGGACTATTTTATGCATAGAATTTTGATTTGAGTCTTGTGGGGGAAAAGAAAATGCTGATCTTTTTCCCTTTTAACCTTCTGCCTTTAGAATTGCAAAATACCATAATCCTTACCGCAATATCTGACAATACAATTAAGTTCAATACAAAAAACCCATAGAACAAGGTAAACTCTCATTCGTTAACATATAAACACACAAATGACATGTATTTATAAAGGAATACTGCTCTCTCCTGAATAAGTTTATAGTAGCAGACGTCGAACTTTATTGTGGAAGAAAAAGAAAAGACTTGTATACGATAGGAAATGGGAGCAGAATGTTCGTGGACCTTTCTATGTGTTTTTCTGTATAAAGACATAGACAAATAAATTTTATCGCTTTTCTGTCTTAGAATCAGCACTAAAATTTTGAGGCTAAAATTTGCTTTTATACAATTTTTTTTTGTGTGTGTGAAGTGTTGATTATATGCAGAAATTTTCAGGCTTCACATACAGTGTGTTTCTTTTTTTTTTTTTTTTTTTTTTTTTTTTTTAACCAATTGAGGACCACAAATGATAGAGCAATGGGAATTACATTTATCAAAAGGTAAAAGGATAACATTTTAGATTTGCTCTTCCTTCTTTGGCATTTTCATATTCTCTCTAACTCTCTTCTTCTCTCTCTCTTCCTTCTCTCTCTCTCTTCCTTCTCTCTCTTCCTTCTCTCTCTCTTCCCTTCTTTCTCTCTCTTATAGTCTCTCTTCTCTCTCTCTGAGCAAACTCTCTCTCTCTCTTCCTTCTCTTAAAGAAAGTCTCTTTTCTCTCTATTAATAATTCTTCCTTCTCTCTTTTTTTTTTTTTTCTCTCTCTCTTCCTTCTCTTATCTCTTTCTCTCTCTCTCTTCAGAAACTCTCTCTCTCTCTTCCTTCTCTCTCTCTCTCTCTTCTCTCTCTCTCTCTCTTCCTTCTCTCTCTCTCAACTGTTTCCCCTTTTCTCTCTCTCTCTTGGTTCAAGACTTTTGCAACTTCCTTCTCTCTCTTAAACATCTGTTAACTCTTTGTTCTCTCTTGTGAATTCTCTTCTCTCTTCCCTTCTCTCTCTCTCTTGTTCTCTACTATCTTCCCTTCTCTCTCTCTTCCTTCTTCTATTCAACAAGGATCTCTTTCCTTTTTTCTCTCTTCACTCTCTCTCTCTTCTTTTCTCTCTCTTCCTTCTCCATCTCTCTCTTCCTTCTCTCTCTCTTTGTCCCATTCTCTCTCTCTCTCTCTCTTCCTTCTCTCTCTCTCTCTCTTCCTTCTCTCTCTCTCTCTCTTCCTTCTCTCTCTCTCTCTCTTCCTTCTCTCCTCTCTCTCTCTTCCCTCTCTCTCTCTCTCTCTTCCCACTCTCTCTCTCTCTTCCCTCTCTCTCTCTCTCCCCTCTCTTTCTCTTCCTCTCTCTCTCTCTTCCTCTCTTCTCTCTCTTCCTCTCTCTCTCTCTTCCCTTCTCTCTCTCTCTTCCCTTCTTCTCTCTTCCCTCTCTTTCTTCCCTCTCTCTCTCTTCTTCCCTCTCTCTCTTCCTCTCTCTCTTCCCTTCTCTCTCTCTTCCTCTTCTCTCTTCTTCTTTTTTTTTTTTTTTTTTTTTCTCTCTCTCTCTCTTCTTCTCTCTCTTTTTTTCTTCTTTCTGAGTTGATTAAAAACAAATATATATTACACCTTATACACTTACTAAAGATGTTGCTCATTGATGGTAAGAGCAAATTTTCCTTTTTTTTTTTGTTTGTTTGTTTGTATGTTTTGTAAGTTGCAAACTCACTGCATGCTCTACTATACACTCTAGACATGCACTAAAGAAGCTACAACAAACATGAAAAAAAAACCTTAATTAAATCTTTGTTTGTGAAACCAATCCATGGCATGAAGTTCATGCCGAAGACTCCTTACTTTTGTTGCCTTTTGTCAAACTAAGCTAAGTAGCTGCCTAAATGAGACAATGACATTCAATGCTCAAGACAAATAAAAACTACTTAAATCACAAGAGGGTTTCATCAAGGTATATTATATTCCCTTTTAGACCCCTTTTATTTAAAAAAAGGAGGGGGTGTGCAGGGTAGAGGGAGAATAAACACTACTTATTCACCTGCCTCCTTTCTACTTCACTCAAATATACTTGGGTTTAATCCCCAAATACCAGCCAGTTCTTTCTCCCTTTCTGGCTTTTAGAATGGAAACTATTTGGGATTCCAGAAGTTTCAAGTATCTCAAACAACCAGACTCTCTGCCAGTTGGCATGTGTAAAATCTATATCCTTCCCTCCTGAATTCTCTTTTCCTCACTTCTCTTTTGGGCTGGACTTTTTTTTTTTTTTTTTTTTTTTTTTTTGCAGGGTTTCCCTCCCTACCTCCCCACTTGAAAACAAAGTTTACTTGGTACCAATGTAATGCTTTATTTTCAGACTAGCATAATGCCTATAAAAACTAACAGGATTATTTACATGTGGATCGGTGTTTCTGCTGAGGATGGAAGTTTCACGCTCCATCCCTCTACAGTTAGTGCATATTGCTTGGGATCAAAGTATCACTCCCTGATACTACTGTTGAAGATCAGTGTAGTACCTGTGCACTTACTGAAAAGTGTTGCACACAAAATGTGTCTATATCTATTGTAGCTATAAGTTCTATGCCAACAGTTTTGTCTTTTTTTTTTTTTTTTTTTTTTTTTTTTTTGGAATGCCTGCAATCTGTACTCCTGATTACTCCTCGCTCATTATTAATGTTTCTGTTCCTAATTCTTCCACACCCTGTAACTTGTGTCTTATGGCTTTACTGCCTTGCACGGAGTGGTAGATTAAAAAAAAAATGGATAGGGATTATATTTTCTAGATGACCATATAGTGTCTGCACTATGAATCACATATATATATCCAGTACCTTAAGTTTACAGTCCAAATGAGAGGGGGGGGGGCTAAAAATGTAGAGTGCTCAATATGTTAAGTAGAGCAAACATAAATAAAGGGTAATTTTTTTTTTTTTTTTTTTTTGTCACATGGTTTTAAGCATTTTAATTTTAGATTTTAGTGTTGGTTTTATCAAGATTGTTCTGTATCATTTCTGCTTTAGCCAGATTACTCTGAAGATCCGTTCAGGTAAAACCTGTGTAGATAGTTCCCAGCTTTTTAGGATTTATTTTATACACACACATATATATATATATATATATATATATATATATATATATATATATATATATATATGGTTAATATACACATACATATGCAATCATATATCTAAACCATATATATATATAATTCTAAGAGGATAGAATCCAGGTAGAACTCAATGTCCAGGACAGAGTAAGATATAATAAAAAACTAAATGATTTATTCATGGTCATAATTTATTCCATTGAATCTTAAATACTATCCAAGTCATCAAACCTACAAATTCAAAAAAGGTCTGAATTGGATTGTATTTACGATTCCAATAGAATAAATTATGACCATGGAATATTACTGTTTAAGCCTTTATTTATTTTTATATATATATATATATATATATATATATATATATATAACATTGTCTGATTAAAAATGAATCTACTAATTCTTGGTTTTCAGAATATTTGGTTCCCAAATTTTAACTTTATACACATTTCTTTTTATTAACCTGAAGCTTATAAGCACAGCAAGGCTTAAATGAGTAGAAAAATTAAGCATCTTTTTAAGCATGAATTTGTGGATGTACAGGTGGGGGCAATGGATAAGCAATCAGACTAAAGTTCAAATTCCAGTCAAGTCTATTAGATTCTTTTACATGCAAATATCCTTGAAAAAGTTGGTAACCAATCTAGAATGAAAACTTTGAATTCAAACCAACCTTTCTTAATTTTATTAAGCATGTTCCAGAAAATATGTGAAATTTCTAACTCTCATTTGGGTTATATTTTAAGCGTGAAATAAGGCTCAATACTTGAATTTGCTTGGCATGACAAGGCTTGGATAAAATTACCTGATGCTAATAAAAATAAAAGTACCATGGAAACTGTTTTGTTATAAGATCCTTCCTCTATTCTCCCTCCCAAAAAATGATTAAAATTATCTTCATGGTCTTACAAGCAAAGTCGATATACCTGTAGGCTGTTTATCCAGACATTATGAACTATATCTGTATACTGTAATATTAAATGTAATTGAAATCAGTCTGGTATGCTACGAAATACAGTAAAACTTTTATCAGCAGAATTCTTTCCCAGTTTTGAGTCTGGTGTGTTAAGCATTTGCTGTAAGCATGTTTTTCTAAAATTGTACTCTATTAATTTGTTACATTGAGATATTGATCTACCATACTTTTGAAACGGATGCAAAATTAAGGTGCTAGTGGATGGGTGATATACCAGACAGAATGTGGTCTCTGTCTGTGATGCTGTAACACAAGTTACTGATCAATTTAAATTCCCATGGCCTGAACCTGTAGGCAAGGACACTTAGGGAAGAGTGATGAAATTACAAGGGCACATAACAAGGAAAGAGGGTTTAATTTAATACTCTCAAGACAAATTGAACGCAAGGGACAGAGGAAAGCAATGCATAATCTACCTAGTGAGATTGAGTAAATGGAGAATGAAACAAGGTTTAGGAATGTCGTGAACAGTCCCGTAGAAACAAGCGAGCCAGAGTGGCTTGCCTCTGGTGTATTACTTTAACATGCGTCACGTGACATCGGCAAGTTTATTCCATGAAAATGGCATTACTCTCTCATCTATCAGTTCCAGCAGTATGTGTGGTAACAAGGGTTTTTGTACAATTTGACATGCTTCCACCAATAGCAAGTTGTGTGCTGATTGGTCGAACTGGAGGAGGCTATTTATCTGGGTAACTGAGAATAGTAAAGAACTCTAATTGGTTGGTTGACCACGGTGTTGGCCCTGATAAAAGAGGGCTGAATCAGTGAAAGGGGGAGAAAAGACTGATTTATGTTTTGAAGTGTTCAGAAAGCAAGAACGCCAGATTGAACCAGCGGTATCTTGATTTGTACAAGTGACATTGTAATAATACTTATTTAAACTACAAGGAAAGATAACAAAAAGATAAAATTAAAAGCTAGAAAGGACAGGAAATTGTGGAGAGCCATAATTGCTAGTGTCCTGAAGGAACACAGCACATAGAAGACTGATTCATGTAGGCAATATTTTTCCACAGATTCCTTTTTTTTGTTATCACTGAATTGCCATGAATTCTTAGGAAAAATATTAGTGGTTTCCTTGTCTTTTTATTTTTTTTTTTTTATTTTATAGTTTCAAATTCAAAGTCGTCTTTTCAGACTAGTTCCTAGACAAATTTTGTGAAACCAGTCTATTGCTATTTAACCTACAGCTGGGGAGTTGAAGAGATTGATTCATGCCTTTTCCAAGAGCGTATATGCAAAAGTGAACACAATAGACTAGGCCAGAATTTTGAACCTGGCTTACTGATTACACTCTCCATACTGCCGTCACATCCAAATCTCTAATTGTCCAAAACCCAACCAAAAGAGTTTTACTAGTTTTATTTTATTTTATTTTATTTGTTGTACTTTTTTGTATTAACACAGCAATATAAGATGCTATGAGCATTGAGAAGATAGATGCTGTAGATGACCATGGTGAGCCTGGCAGCTGGTCTCTCCTCTAACAGCTCAGCAGGGAATGGTTTGAACTGGCTGGTCATATTCAATGCCACGAAATCTAAACTAGTGATGTTTGTCTATTGCAATAAACAGATGTTCTCTCAGGGAGGGCCCTGTGCTTCGAGCACCTATTGGGACGAGCTCAAAAACCCTGACCACAAGTAGAACTAATACATACCCCCCGCCTCCATGTTTGTGAATTTTAGTTTTGGTTTGATTGTTTCAGTTTTTTCTACTCTTCTTGACCCACAAGTTGACCGTATTACAGGTCAAATTAACTGACAGCTTAATACTGTCATGTGATCTATTTGTCATTTTTATTTTTTTATACAAATACTTTAGTCGTTATCTTCAGAAAATGATATTCATCATTAAGTAAGCTTTGTATAAGTAAACTCGAAAAAATATAAATAGCAGTTTAGTTTCTTTTCTTTTTTTTTTCTTTTTTTTATTAATTGTTTTGACATTTTTGGGCCCCTAGCCTCAAGGATTACAACTTTTCTTTTGTTGAGCTGAGATCTGATACATTGCTATTCTTGTTAGAGACTTAAACTAACCTATCTTTTTAACAGATTACTGAGCTGATAAATTGATCACCTTGTGACTTGATCTCCGCTCAAGATTATCCTCTTTTTGTTCAATTCTTTTTTTTTTTTTTTTTTTTTTTCTCCTTTTGTTTCCTTCTATCTTATAATCCATTCACAGATAAGGATCGGGTGTCCTGTAAAAAATATCACTTTAGTTTGTGATGTTTTACTTGGGGCCTCAGGGTTGGTAACGCTGAAATATGAGATGTAATAAGCATTGGGAAGAGGACCAGGGTCTGGTAACTGATCTCTCTGACCTAGCTTTAATAGCTCAGTTTAGTGGGGGGGTGCTCTTTGGTCATATTCAATGTCACAAAAATCAAATTAGTGATATTCACCTATTGCGCTGAACAGGTGTTCTCTCAGGGAGGCCCTACACCTAGAGCATCTATTGGGACTCCAGCTCAACCCAGACAAGTGGAACTAATACATATAATT